ACTTGCGGTTTTTTACAATAAGTCGAAAATATCACTTTTTACCAAAAATGACAAAAATATTCACCAAAATTATGGAATTAAAGATATCATCACAAAATGAACAAATCTGAGAGAGGTTCACATGTAGTACCTATATATGTAATATAAAAGCAATTAGACTTGCGGTTTTTAACAAGAAGTCGACAATATCACTTTTTACCAAAAATGACAAAAATATTCACCAAAATTAGAGAATTGAAGATATCATCATGAAATGAACAAATCTGAGAGAGGTCTACCCAAGGTATATATACACCAAGTATCAAAGCATTCAGGCTTGTAGTTTTCAAGAAGAAGTCGAAAAAGTAAAACATTGACACGGACGACGACGATGGACGACGAACGCCGATGGACAATCACTCGTATGATAAGCTTCGCTAGACAAAGTCGATAGCGGAGCTAAAAAACAAAAAAATTCACTGCGCCAGAATTTGGAATCCGGGTGAATATAAACTGAGCCGGTGATTCAACTAAAACAGGTAAAAATGGGGCCCCTAATAATAGAAAGCCTTTACCGTAATGGAGTCGATCACCAACACTAGATTCCTAGATAATCTCAGTCATAAAAAACTGCAACCTGTTCTCCTGTCGTGCGTAACAGCGGAGCTGAAAAATATCTGTACCCGTTGGTAGCGGAAACAAAAGAGAATGAACAGATCAGGCCTCGCGTGCATGAGCACCTTAAGGGTGATCCCTCAGGAGAGGCCTTTTTTCTATAGGGAATGCTACCCTTGGGTGTTTTTTGTGGACCCGAGTATATTCCCTAATTGTTTTCGTTCGGGGCTGTAATCTGTAATTAAGCCTAATGAGTAATAAATGAAATTTTTTATTTCCACAGACTTTCTGGTAGGTGATGTAGTAAACTTTGAATATTACCATGCCATGAACATCACCTGAGTTGCCATACAAAACACTTTGACTAGGAAAAGTGAATTGTTAGTTATGAAATTTCTACATTGCATACAGAAAAACTGCCTCCTTAATAGAATGACTACAAAATAAGATAACATACCTTGAGAATATCAATCAGCATTTTATGTTGAGTGTCTGGAAACTGTATTTGATGCATGGGGTCACAGATTGCTTGTAATTTAGCAAAATGATTAGTGATATGCTGGAATGGTGTTTTACCATAAACTATGTAATACAGGATACATCCAAGAGACCAGACATCACTTTTACAATTAATCTGAAAAGCAAAAGTATGTACATGTATATAGTTTATAACATATCATATGACTATGGTGCATATCATTCAAAAAAGCGTCATCTAGCTGATATCTCACACTAAATACGGTGATATCCATTTTAAACGTTATCAGTCAATGTGTGCTTAGTACATAGATAAAACCAAATTATGCCATGAAACCATTTTATCCCTAAAATTATGAGACTCGATAACAATTATTCCGCAGATACTTGTATGATGACTCAAACTCAATGGTGTGATTGAGGCTTTATGCAGAGCCCCTCACTTGAATTGTGTTGCTTGCAAGAAAAAGAATTATATTATGGGTAATAATGAGAGGGAAACAAAACACAACATACCTTAAGTCTTGGTTTCCTAAGTCCTCTGGCATCAAAGTGTGGAGTTGGTGAAGTATCTTGTATAGCTTCTGGTGACATATAATTTAATGTACCAACCTGGGATTCTCTTATAACACTTGTATGGTCTTGTTGTATAGCATTAGCTATGCCAAAGTCAATCAGTTTTAACTTGGCATCAACAAATAGAAAATTAGCTGGCTTCAGATCACTATGGATTATACCTAATAACAACGAAATAAATGCCAGGTTAGGGTAAGCTAAGTTGATGAGGACAAGAAAGTGGTGCACATCTCAAATAAAGGAAATACCTTGTTTATGAATACAGTCCACAGCTTCCAGCATCTGTCGCCAATATGACTTAATATCTTCTTCTTTCATTGCTCTATTTTTACTTTCCTTTCTCAAAAAACTAGCAAGATCAATACTACCACACTCCATTACCATATACATATGGACGTCTGTGATTTCACTAATAAATAAAATGATGATAGAAATCAGTTGATTTGTCTAGAATGATGTAATGATTTGAATGATGTAATGA